TCCTCATCCAGGCAGCTTCCTGTGGAGCTTTGAGTGTGGCAGGATACTAAAGCAGATTTGGGTTTAGAGGACGTGGGACTTACTTATTAACTGATTTCGGTTCAGAGACTCCCAGATGGCTTTCCAGAAGTTGGTTAGATTTAGACAGTGGTCTAGGGTCCTTCCATCCAACCTCATGTGTCTCTGTCCTTTCAGTTGGGGGTTGGACTTGTGTATCTGACCTATATCCCAGCCTTCCCTCCCCTTTAAATTTGAAGATCTCTTCTCTTAAGCTAAGACAGAATTAAATATTTAATGATTTTATTGGGGGAAATACTGGTGTATAAGGAAACAAGGAAGGGGGAGCGAAGGCTGGTCGCTAGTTTTTCTTTTTGCTAGGAACAAGCATCAAGAAATAAAAATGGAAAGTTATTCAATTCATAATAGTAGAAAAGCAAATATTGAGGGGTGCTGGTGGGAATGCAAATTGATACAGCACCTGTGGGAAACGGTGTGGAGGCTTCAAAAAAATTAAAAATTACACTACCATATGACTTCACCATTGCACCTCAGTATTCAACCAAAAGAAGCAGAGGCACTATCCTGAAAAGGTATCTGTGTACCCCCATGTCCATTCCAGTATTACTTAGAATAGCCAACATGTGGAAGCAACATAAGTGTCCACCGACAGATGAATGGATAAAGAAGACATTTTATCTATCATCTATCTATCTACCCACCTACCTACACATATATATAACAGAATATTATTCATTCATAAAAAACATGAAATCTTTCCATTTGTGACATGAGAGGACCTAGAAGATATTATGCTAAGGGAAATTAATCAGACAGAAAAAAAATACCATATCATCTCAATTATACATGGAATCTTAAAAAACCTGAACTCCTAGATATGGCAAACAGATCGGTGGTTGCCAGAAACAGGGGCAGGAGGGGGGTGAGAGGACGAAATGGATGAAGGTGGTCAAAAAGTGGAGACTCCCAGTTTTAAGGTAAATACGTCCTGGGGATGTAGTGTAGAGCAAGGTGACCATAGTTAATGGTACCATAGCATGCGCTGGAAGATTATGAAGAGAGTAAATCTTGTGAGTTCCTTTCACAAGAAAGATAAATTTGTAATTGTGTGTGGTGATGGATGTTAAGTAAACTCATTGTGAGAATCACTTTGCAACATATACATGTATCAAATCTTGTTGTACACCTGAAACTAAAACAATGTTATACACCAATTATATCTCAATTTAAAAATATTAGGGATGGGGCACCTGGGGGGCTCCATCGGTTAAGGGTCCGACTCTTGGTGTCAGTTCAGGTCATGATCTCAGGGTCGTGAGATTGAACCCTGTATCTGGCTCCATGCTGGGTGTGGAGCCTGCTTAAGATTCTCTATTTTGCTATCCCTTTGCCCCTCCCTGCTGTGCACACATGTGCATGCTCTTTCTCTCTCTTAAAAAAAAATTAAATACATACATACACACACACACATATATTAGGGATAAATCTAATAGGAAATTTATAGGACATATATGAAGAACATTATATAATCTTACTGAAGGAGCTAAAAACAAGATCTGCCTTGGTTTGAATCCTGACTCCAAACAAGCTGTGCTATTTTGCAATGATATTTACCTTTTCTAAATTTCAATTTCTTCATGTTTAAAATGAGGATAGGGCTGAGATGAATATTTTAAAAGTCTATATACATGTAAAGTGCTTAAATGGTATCTGAGCACTAAGTGCTCGGTATGTATTAGCTATTATTATTATTACTTTGTTGGTGGTGGTATTGTTATTATATAAAAAACTAAGTGAACAAAAAGAGCCAAATGATTTATGAATAATAATTGTGCTTTGTCAGATATTAAATCGTACTTAATGCCATTAAAAGACCAAAACCAGAAAACCCAGCAGAGTATTAGTATAGGAATAGAAAATGGATCAGAGGAACCAGACAGAGAGCCCGGAAATAGATCTTTAAAAATATGAGAATTTATTTTAAAAGATTTATTTATTTATTCATGAGAGACACACAGAGAGAAGCAGAGCCACAGGCAGAGGGAGAAGCAGGCTCAATGCAGGGGAGCCCGATGTGGGACTCCATTCCGGGACCCCAGGGTCATGACCTGAGCCAAAAGCAGATGCTCAACCGCTGAGCCACCCAGGCGCCCCAAGAATTTGATATATAGTAGTAGATGGTATACACATTCAGAGGAAAATCATTCAATGAATCGTGTCTGCTAGCCAACTAAGAGGAAAGAAGTATAGATTCTTACACCATTGTACAAAAATTGAACCTTGAATGTATTTTTTTGAATTTTATAAGAATAATGAACATTTTCAGAGATAATTTGGGATATTACATGAACAACCTGAAAATGGAGTGGTGCTTTTTAACCAACATAGGGATTCTGGATAGATATATTGACTTCATGAAGATGAAAATTTTGCCTATCACGTGGTGTGAACACAGTGAAAACAAACAGCAGGAAATATTGTTAATACCTGTAACATACAAAGATGAGTGAGAGAAATTTGGCTCGAAGAGCCTCTTATTTATTGTCTTCAGAAAGTTAACGTAACAAAATTATTATTGAGCTCTTTGGACGTTTAAATTCATTAGGGAAAGTGGAAATGTTCATTTAAGATCTTCTATGGTTTCTTCTTTTCTTGTCTCTTCACTTTTCTTGTCTCTTTTATTGTGCCGATATCTTCTTGCCTTTTTCTAAAGACAGCTACTTCTGACACTGTTCCTTTCCCATTTTCTTCCTCGACTCTGTACACTTCTCTTCATTTCCTTTTCTTATATGCGTCCCTTTCTTTGTTGCTTAGTGTTTGGTTACCCACCCTCCCTCCATTCTCTCTCTCTCTCTCTTCCTTCACTCCACCAATCTTCATTAAACGTCAGTGCTGGGCTAGGATTTTGTATCCTCTAAATCCATAACCTATTCTCTAAGTGTAACTATGTCATAACCATGCTATCAGCATGACTCCTGGTATTCCTAAATTTTAAAAATATTCAAAAAGCTTTTCACTGATTTAACCAGTATGGTATTGAGTTCAAATCTAGGAAAATGAAAACTCTAATAATTCCAGCAACCTCTGGCTTTTTCATAGCGTGTTAGAAAATTTACCTCCTCTATAGAAGCTTGTACTCAATACATTCACATAAGGAAAACTATATATTTTTTTACTCTAAAAGATTCATTTTTTTTAAAAGAGAATGGGATTTGGGGGGAGTAAATGTGCAGGAGAGAAATATACCCGCAAGCGTTCTCATTAGTTACCCTAAGGTGAGGACAGAGGATGTGCTTCATCGAAAGGCTCAGTCAAAGCCTAAGGACCGAGGTGTTCCTGGAGGTGCTTCTTCAGTAAGGATAGAGATTTTGGACTCTGGAGTGTGGAATTCAGCTGTAGGCCTTGCATTTGGTTAGAATCCTAGATACGTGGCTTGGCCCATGAGTTGAAAAACATCATTTGGTTCAGTAGAAGCAAAAGAAGCACTTGGTTCCATCTGCCTCAACGACAAAGGTCTTCCTCATGGGCAGGGCTGCTGGCTGTCGGCGACCTCTCCATGTGGCCGACTCCGCTGAGTCCTACTCATCTCCTCCAACATGTCAGCTCTTTATTTTTTTTAAATCTCAGGTCTTTGGTCCCCCTTTATCAGGAGTACTGACATTAAGAGTTCTTTGGGGGCAGGGGCCCATATGGTTCTAGGAGCTGCCAAATAGTTTTTAATATAAATGAATATTTGTTAATTTACCTGCGTTTGGGTTTAGAGTTTTGTATATTGAGTTCTATTTAACTTTAATAAGGTAGGCAACAGACTCAAGTGAATAACAGGTAACCGTTCTGACAGCTTAAATTTTGATGATGGTGGTGGTGGGTCAAGGACAGATGGTGGATTGCTTCTGGATTGTGAAAGAAAAAGGAGAAATAGTATGGAAGTGGGTTTTTTGTTTGTTTTGGTAGAGGGAAGGAGAAGAAGGTGGTAACAGCAGAGAAGAGCAGATGTTTGGGGATGTGAAGAGCAGAGGGAGAGCAACTTTTTTTAAATTAAAGGGAAAGCACTACCTGTCTAACTCATTCTTCATGTGTCAGGTGAATGTCATCTCTTCCAGGAGGCCTTCTGGCATTTTCTGTCTGTTATAGGCTACTTCTGTTGTCTGTACAACTAATTTGCCAATTAATTGTGTACCGTTTGGTAACTTATCTTAAAAGAATTAAGTCATTGGGATGTTTTTCAGCATGCTCCAGGATGATGGCTTTTCTTCCAAATGAGACTTAACAATAACTGTGAGTCAAGGACTCCTTCTTATAAATTCTAATCTTCTTCTGCAATGCCCGGCATGGTTGCTGCAAGAAGTTCACTAACTGGGAATAAGGACGTTATGACCCCTGTGGACAGTGGTGACAGGAGAGGCAGCGTGCACGACAGGGGCATGAGGTGCTGAGGATGGATGGGGAGGAAGACGGTGGTGGGTGGGTGAGAGACGTATGGAAAAGAATTGCCTTGTATCCTTGGCCACCTACTGAATATGCTTCGGTACTATAGGACATGCGAATAGGATTCTTTTAGTTTTTCTTGCTAGGAGGTGTATTCCTGTTGGAGATTTCCTTTTAAACGAGTGAGTTTACATTGGAAGGGAATGGCACTTTAGCATGTCAGTAGGACTTGGGTTTGTGTGCTGGGCCTTTGGATAATACACACACGTGTACATCCCCATGCACGTACCTATAGTTTACCTTTTGAGTTTTCTGGTTCTTATTTCATGATCATGAAGGACGTCTAAAAAGTCAAAGAAAAATTTTATTTCTGAAACTTCAGTCATGTTTTTGCCCATTCGAAGTGGGTTTGAAATCATTGAGATGTGGGGTTTTAAAGTTCGGCTGTGGTTAGAGCAACGGTGTGACCTACGATTACATTTGAAGGAAAATGTGCCTTTCCAGTTCAGACACATACTAACAATTCCTCTCTCACTTCCTCTTTTTAATAATAGGACATTTCCAAGTTTGCAGAGAAGGACAACATCGTTCTTGGAGAAGGTGGCGTCACGCTGAGCGGAGGGCAAAGAGCAAGAATCTCCCTAGCAAGGTGAATATCTGATGATTGGTTCGGCGAGCATTGGTTGTGGATATCATGCATGTAAAAATTATAGACATTTCTCTATTTTTTTTTATATTCTGCTTCTGGAATTGAAAAATGCCTGGGGTTTTATGATCAGAGGGTTGAGAGGGTTGAGAATCACCTTTAAGAACTATAGATAACGATTTTGTATCCATATTTGATGAAGGCGATGGCTTTTTCAAATTGCACGCTCTCATTTTGCTATCTGTATATTTGTTTGCCTTATGGTGTGATTTAATACAAAGTGGAAAACCTTGGGATGCTGCACAGCACAAGGAAAAACAAAAGTATTTTTGTGAAGTCTATCATAGGGCCCCTCGCTTACTCCCACCCCACAATTCACTCACCTGTTGATACCTCTTGGTTTAGATAAACATACATTTTCAAATTTTCAACATAATTAGTAATTTTCATGACAAAACTAGTGAGGCAAATGATGTCACTTGGCTTCAAGTCTGCAAGCTTTAAGGAAAAATAAATAGGATAAGCAGCGTCTAACATTGTGGGGGACAGGGATGTCCCTTGGTAGAGACATTCTTAGTCTAAGCATTTCGAGCTGTCAAAGGGAAGTACATAAAGTTAATTCGTGTCAAGAATAAAAGTTTGTGGTTAACCTGTAACTTTCAGTTTTAAAAAATATTGGTGATATGAGACGTCAAACGCTCTTCTAGTTTTATTCAAATAGAATTCTTCTCGCTGTGTCGCCAAGGTTGTTAACAAGAAGTCACATGGACTTATCGGTATTTTGGTTCCCTTCCTTACTGTCTTCTACTTTCAAAGGCTGGAATGATAAATAACATACTGAGCACCTGCAATTGCCTGGTATTATTCTAGGTGGACTGTGTGTGTGTGTGTGTGTGCGAGTGTAATTTTACTTAATCCTTATATCCCTCTGAAAAGAAAGAATTGTTCTCCCCACTTTATGGAAGAGATCATTAGATAATCAAGGCTGTTCAAGCTTCACTGGCCAAAAACTATACCAGGAAATTGTTGAGTCAGCCGGGTCCTCTTGACTCTTTTGACATTAAACCATGATTTGGTTTTGGGATTACTTGTGATGTAATAAATCACTAGATATGGATAATTCACAGACAAAATCATGGCTTCTAAATAGTTGGAAATTGATTGATTAATCTGTGAGCCACAGTAAGACGTAACTTAAGCATTCCATTTCGAATTTATGGTATGCTCCATGGCTTCTAGGCATTTAACACAGAATTGGGTTTGTCTTTACGAAAGTTTAACATTTGGTTTTATTGTGAGGTGCACACAATATGAAGTACTACTGAAAGTGATCGTTCATTCTTATTCTGATTGGAATGTGTCATATGTTGCCCGGTTTGGGATGGTGAGAATTTCCAGTTCTTGAGAAACTGGTCCTAGAAGTGAGGGAGAGGGAAAAGTGAGAACTGAGTGGGGGGAGGAAAGATGTTGAGGTTGCATTTTGGCAGGGGTCTCTTTTTTTTAAGATTTTATTTATTTATTCATGAGAGACACAGATAGAGAAAGAGAGAAAGAGAGAGAGAGAGAGAAAGAGAGAGAGAGAGAGAGAGAGAGAGAGAGATTGAGAGAGGCAGAGACACAGGCAGAGGGAGAAGCAGGGTCCTTGTGGGACTCAATCCCCGACCCCGGGATCACACCCTGAGCCAAAGGAAGACCCTCAACCGCTGAGCCACCCAGGTGTCCCTCTAAGATCAAATTGATGAAGATTTTACTTGCTTATAGAATTTTTGTTCTTTAACTGAAAAAGCAAATCTCAGATGGGTGTACATGTTTGTGAATTATTTAACCTTCATTTGTTTGAAATTCATAGAAATATGCTTCAGAGACTGAAACTCTGTGGAGCAAAATGCAAAGTAATATTACGGCCACAATTTGTTGGTGGCGGTCAACACTGCTGAAATGTTTTTCTTATGTATTGCTGCTATTTAGCTGTGGTCTCGGACATTTTACAGTTTTGAAAAAGTCTATTTTCCTCTTTGCTTTCCCACCAACATGCAAGATCTTTGAATCAGGGACTATGTAATTTTTACCATTGTATTCCTAGCACCTAGCATGGTGCTTGGCTCTCAACAGATACTATTATTCAAAATTTTCTTTTTTTAAGGTGATACTTTAAATGGTGTGGTGTGGTGTGATTCAGTTTGTTGACTTCTGCTATTTATGCCACTTACATTTAGCAAAGCCGCTTCAGTCGTTCTTGGGATATTGTGAAAACCATTAAATCATTTACGGCTTACCTTTTTTTTTAATTTTTATTTTATTTATTTATTTTTTTATTTATGATAGTCACACACAGAGAGAGAGAGAGGCAGAGACACAGGCAGAGGGAGAAGCAGGCTCCATGCACTGGGAACCCGACGTGGGATTTGATCCCGGGTCTCCAGGATCGCGCCCTGGGCCAAAGGCAGGCGCCAAACTGCTGCGCCACCCAGGGATCCCTACGGCTTACCTTTTTGATTCGCCTTTAGAATTGCCTACACTAAATAACAGGAAATATTTTATTTTATTTTATTTTATTTTATTTAAGATTTTATTTACTCATGATAGACATAGAGAGAGAGAGAGAGAAAGGTAGAGACACAGGCAGAGGGAGAAGCAGGCTCCATGCTGGAAGCCTGATGTGGGACTCGATCCTGGGACTCCAGGATCACGCCCTGGGCCAAAGGCAGGCGCGAAACCGCTGAGCCACCGAGGGATCCCTGACAGGAAATATTTTAAAAATCTGATTTAATATTCGTTTTCTTTTCAGAGCAGTATATAAAGATGCTGATTTATACCTCTTAGACTCTCCTTTTGGATACCTGGATGTTTTAACAGAAAAAGAAATATTTGAAAGGTATGTTCTTTGAATAGTTTATAATGCTCATGCTAAAAGATGAGAAAGAACAATTATCCCCTCATAGGCTGCATTTTACCTGTGAGAATTATGGCCACCATTGTGACTCATGGTGGCAGCATGTGACATAGCATCACTGAAATCTGATCTTCCTTTCACAGTCAAGATTCAAGATCATGTCCATTAAAAGCTTTTCTGACCACCTCACAAGAGCCCAATTTCTTCCCTTGATTGTTGTAACGATCACTATCAATGTAGTTTTTGCATTATTATTACCTGTGGCATATAGTATTTTAAGTGGTTATTACACTTAATGTTTTTACTTTTTTGTATGTTAGTATTTTATTCTTTCTTCTCCTTAAATTGGATTTTCTTAAGAAACTAAATAAGGTGAATGTGTTAATGCAGACAACTACTCAGACCATTGGTCTACCTTGATACCTCCTATAGAACCTCTTTCTTCATCACACAAAACTAGGGATATACATTTCATGGGAGCTCTCACTAGGGCTCAATGTGTGGAAAGTTCCTAAGAGGAGCAATTTGTTATATGACTTGATTTCAGTTTCAAAATGATTTCCTGAACTATAAAGTAGTTTATCAGGAGAGTTATTACAACACTCTTCTAAAATAAGGTTTTTAAGCAATAAGGATGTGTGTGTGTGTGTGTGTGTGTGTGTGTGTGTAAAATGGCTGCATTACCCCTAGATTTAAATTTAATACCTAAGATTTTTACAATCCTATGAGTATGATAAGTAACTTCTTACTAATATAAACTTTGTTAGCTCTGTTAGTATGTTAAGGTATAATCTAGAATGATGCCTCTTTCTTGTTTAAGACTTTATTTATTTGAGAAAGAGAGCAAGCATGAACATGTGGGGAGGGGCAGAGGGAGAGGGAGGAGCAGGCTCCCCACTGAGCAAGGATCCCAACAGGGGCTCAATCCCAGGACCCCAAAGTCATGACCTGAGCCGAAGGCAGACATTTAACTGACTGGGCCACCCAGATGCCCTGAGATTGATGCCTCCTCTCTCCATACAATTTATAATGTCTTAATGTCTAAAAGAATTTGATCTCCTTAGGTGGTGCTAGTCAGGATTTATTTTTAAATTAAAAGGAAATTTTATTAGAGGAGAGTCAAATTTATTATTCAGTTCTCAGCTTTAAAGATCAGATTAGTTTTATATATAAGCTCTTGAGAACTAAATTCATGGCCAACTTGAAATGTAAAAGGAAATTGATAGAAAACGTGAAGAACAAGAAAGCTCTGATATTTTAGAGGACACAGAAATATAGATTCTCAGGGATCTTGAAAGGTTATCTGGCAATTCTTTAATTTTTTAGATGAACAAACCAAGACCCATAGGGTAACCAATTTGCTCAACGTCCAACATTTATTTAACATCAGATATTTAATTTTGCTCTAGGTTTGTTAACATTCAACTTTATGATATAGCATACTCTAATAATTCAGTAATATATTTCATGCAATAATAATTCAAGAAGACACCAAATTAACTGCCTTTATTTACTTCTAGAATTGCTTAAGTATAATAATGACATTGGATGATAGACATTTTACCTAAGAATACATTAATAAAATGTTAAAATGCAATACATAGACTGTAAAAGAGATTATATAATTGATGTCTTATTTATATCTTCTTATATTCTTTTTTTTTAATGTTCTTAAAGCTGTGTCTGTAAATTGATGGCTAACAAAACTAGGATCTTGGTCACTTCTAAAATGGAACATTTAAAGAAAGCTGACAAAGTCTTAATTTTACATGAAGGTAGCTGCTATTTTTATGGGACATTTTCTGAATTACAAAGTCTCCGGCCCGACTTCAGCTCGAAGCTCATGGGCTATGATTCTTTTGACCAGTTCAGTGCAGAAAGAAGAAACTCCATCATCACTGAGACTTTACGGCGTTTCTCCTTAGAAGGAGATGCGGCCGTGCCCTGGAATGAAACAAAAAAGCAATCTTTTAAACAGACTGGAGAGTTTGGTGAAAAAAGGAAGAACTCTATCCTTAATCCAATCAACTCCATAAGAAAATTTTCAATTGTACAAAAGACCCCATTACCCATGAATGGCATCGAAGGAGAGTCTGAGGTGCCAGTAGAGCGAAGGCTGTCCTTATTTCCCGACTGTGAGCCAGGAGAGGCCATCCTGCCTCGGAGCAACATGATCGACACTGGCCCCACGCTCCGGAGACAACGAAGACAGTCTGTTCTGAACCTGATGACGCGCTCCTCCGTGAACCAAGGTCAGAGCATTCACCGAAGGACAACAGCATCCACGCGAAAAATGTCACTGGCCCCTCAGGCAAATCTAACTGAAATGGATATATATTCCAGACGGCTATCTCAAGACAGTGGCTTGGAAATAAGTGAAGAAATTAATGAAGAGGATTTAAAGGTCTGTATAAACCATCGGTGGTGGTGTTTTTAATTTTAGTTGTCACAGAGTGCAACTGAGAGAAAGGCAGTACGTAGCATGATATAAAACTTGTATTATTTTAGGATTCGGAAGGTTCCAGAGCCCATAAATTACGTAAGCAACTTCAAAATGTACAGGAATAACCTATTTCCTTTGGCGATGGACATACCTCTTCCCATGAAAGATATAGTGAGGCCTAGTGTTGGGTCCTTGAGTAGGCCAGTGATAATCGTTATTATGAATGAGAGGAATTGTGAATCATTACAAATCTGCTTTGTGACCACCTTCCAACCTCTGTGGAAGGAAGTGGGGTATAAATAAAGATACAAACAAATAACAGCTTCAGTCAGAGGCCAAGAAGGGTTTTGTATAGAGGTAGCCCCTGTGAGGTACATAAGCCGCTAGTCCCTTGACAGAACTACCTCGGTATTCTGGTTGGTACCTCAGTCTTACCCAAATTTGTGTGGGCTTCTTTTTATCTTTTAAATTTGCTTTGTAAGTTGGCCATCGGGATAGGTTTCTCTTAAAGAAGGTATATGAAACTCAACGTGTGCTGGTGCCAACCTTCAGATAGAAAGTCTTTTACATTAAGTTTTAAAGAATAAAATGCTTTTGTTCTTCAAGTAAGAAGCAACATAAAAAGAGGAGGGTTTTTGTTTACTGTGTTTTGCTTTTTTTTTACTAGGAAAATTCCCGATGTGCCTTGGATGAATCAGGCAGCAATGTTTGAACTGACATGTTTGATAGCGTAGATCACTTAAGAGTAGTGTGGCCTTTGGCAAGGCACAAGTCATGTGAGATCTTTGGACCCAAATTTCCTCCTCTTGTAAAATGAGAAAACAAAACAGGTGATCTCTAAAATGTACACTTCCAGTATTTCTATAATTTTGCAAAGGTTTCCTAAGGAACAGTTTATGGTTTTAATATCAATATGAATGAATTTCTCAAACCCAAACCGATAAATGTAGTTGTAAAGAATGATCTCCTTAAAAAAAAAAAGAATGATCTCTTTAACTGATAATAGTTATTACTTACTGATAACTTTGAGTGCCAGGCAGTGTATAATTAGTGCCCACCACTATTCTAGAAGGTGCATATCCATATCTTCATTTACAGATAAAAAATCAGAAATTTAGAGAAGTCCAGCTGCCTAAATTCAGGCAGCTTCTAGGAAGTCAATGGTGGAGTTCCAATTCAAATAAAGGTTCATTTGCTTCCAAAAATCTTTCTATCTAATCAGTGTGCTATATTCCCATTTCATAGAACCCCTTCTTTGAGTTTCTGGGGCTCCTTTTATGAATTTTGTTGACTTTGTAAGAAACAAAAATATCTTTTCCCTTAGGAATATCTGGACTTGCTCTTTTTCAAATTTTTGAAATGCATCTACCAAAGGACAAATAGACTTCTAGGGAAATACATGGAAGATTAGAATTTTATAACTTAAGTCATATCTGGAAAGAGAGAGGATCTTCACTACTGAGGGGCATACACACATCAGCGGGCCTTCACGTCTATTGGGCAGACCTCTAGCCAGCAAACTCCAAACTGAGTGAAATAGCCAGCAAAACTCCAAACTGTATCTGTCCACAGACCCCTGAAGAAATGAATTAAATCAAGGGGAGTTCTAGGAAACTTCAGTTTGATGGTACTATTTGATAAAAGATGTGACTCTGTTAAGCATTAAAATGATAAAACTGTCCAAAATCAATACAGTCGTATCATCAGTGATTTACTTTCAGAATTTTGAAAAATTACAGTGTTTCCCATTTTTGAAAACCTGTGTTGCTCCAGTGGACATTATACTGGCTATTGTGCGACATCACCTATGTCATTCACAATGGTTTATATTTGTTGAAATTCATTTAGCTTCAAATACCAGTATTCCTTTAATTGCCCACATTCAACATAAAACCACAATGGTGGTGTGAAACTGTGTTGTCTCCTCGTAGTAACCATGATTCTTTTTTTTTTTTAGGAGTGCTTTTTTGATGATGTCGAGAGCATACCACCAGTGACTACATGGAACACATACCTTCGATATATTACTGTCCACAAGAACTTAATTTTTGTGCTAATTTGGTGCTTAGTTATTTTTCTGGCTGAGGTAAGAAATTTCTGTTGTAAAATATTACTGTGGTTTAAAGTTGCATTAAGAATAGCTTTTTTTTTAAGATTTTATCTATTTATTCATGAGAGACACAGAGAGAGAGGCAGAGACCTAGACAGAGGAAGAAGCAGACTCCCTGCGGAGAGCCCGATACAGGACTTGATCCCAGGACCTGGGATCATCACAACCGCTGAGCCACCCAGGTGTTCCCATTATATAAATACAAATATATGTGTATTTATAACCTTACATTATATAATGATATGCATACCTCCATATTCATATTCCTATATTTCATATATAGCATACAAAATAGATATGAAGAGCTTTTAGTGGAGTTGTTCAAAACTTCTAAGCAGAATACTTTTATATGGATTGAAATTAAGCAGTGAAAATTATTCTGTGCTCAGTTTTAGGTTCATTTGATTATAGATATTGCATTATTGAATATGCAAGTGATGAATCACCACCTTTAAATGACTGTGTCTTCACAAAATGAAATAAATATGTATTAGTGGCTTAGTAACCCTTTTAAACAATCCTTTTAGAGATCCCCATCACCCGCTTGCTTACAGATTTTGTCTGTCTTTGGTGCCACCATCATGGTCTGTTTGTCATGCTTCTGCTGTCCTTCATGTCACCAGGATAAAACAACAAGGGAGGGGAGTGCAAGCAGCGTGCTAGGCTACAAGGGCAGGGCACAACGATGTTAGAGGTTCTCGAAGCAGCATGATGGATGAGGCTTCTCTCTGGATGAGGAGCAGCCACCTAACTGCCAAAAGGGGCTTGGCCAGAATGCCTGTGGGTGAGGTGGCTTTGAGGCTGGAGAGCATTTGTCCTCCAGTTGTCTAATGCGGCCAACGGGGATGCGGCACCAGCCAAACACTTGCCGTGAGGGAATTTAGGATCAATTTTGCTAAATCTTTTTGTCTACTGAGATAAGATAGAAGTCCAGATATTTTCTGTAAAGTCTTCCCCATTTTTGAAATGTAGATAGTTGATTAAATAAAAACAAACAAATGAACACTAGATGGGTTCAACAAAACACACAGGTGGATCGGGTTCCGCCTGGGATGACTAGTTACCCTAGATATTTATTCCAGGGGACATCAACCGCTGGATGGGCCCTAAGGTATGAGCTAAATCTGACATGAAGGCCCCACTGCCTTCAGGGTTTCTCCCCTGGTGAAGAGCTGCCTCTCCTGAGAAGTGTAAATGCATACGTAACTGAAACCCAGTCTTAGAGCTACATGTTGTTTCCTGTTGTTGGGCTGTTTCTAACCTCAGTGGTGAGGTCTACATAAAATAGCATCCCTTTTCCCTGACCAACTAAGATAGTGTTCAGTATCTAAAGGTACATACCAAAAAGTCGTACATACTGTTTCACCTATAAACCATCAGTTTCCATTTGCTCTTGAGTCCTGGTGATATCCCTTCTTTTGCCCTATTATTGTAAATTCATACACCAACTGGAAGTTTGATGGGAGTTGCAGTGTAGTACAGTCCCCACGGTGGCATCACACTGACTTGGCTGTGACCTCGGTCCATCTTGTTAACACAATGAAGCTGAGCAAGGTAAGTTAACCACGCTGAGCCTCAATATCCTCATCTACAAAATGGAGAGTTTACAATACCAACTTCCCAGGTCATGTTTGTGAGTGAAACCACATCAAGGTTATAAAGCACTTAATGTAGGGTTTGGCACATACTGAACAATGCTAGTTGCTGTTCTCATTGATACCCTTAATGTCATACCATTATAAAGCTCAAGATAGTTTGAGGTGAGCAAGTCCATAACCGAAATATAATGAAAGTTTCAATAATCCCTTTTATACTTTAACAAAAATATGCAGTTGGGTAATTTGACACTCTGACATGAGTAATAAAAATTGCTTTGAAATGTATCTTAAATTTACCTCATTAATCTCTGCTAGTCATGCCAAATGACCAACATTAATATGAATGAGACCTAGTTTTGTGCCACATTTAATCTCAAGCCAGCCTTTCATGACTGTTAATGATTTAAATCTCTGCACTGAAAGGTCACATATCTTGATTGTCTTCAATTTGTAGAGTTGCGAAAGAATAAAAAAAACGGTCTTATCTGAATGTAGTGATGATTTATGTTAATTTACAGGATCTTTGTCCTATCCACCTCCATAGAGCTGAACTTCTGTACCTCTCAAAATGGTGTATAATTAATTAACTAATTAGCGATTGAGCACTGAGCTGCTGTGCGTGTGTACAGTATTACCGGCTCATTTAATCAATAAGACAGTGGTCCTTTGTCTTTAAGCTTGAAACTAAATCACAAGAGAGGATGTAAATTATTAGTGGAGCCCTCACAGTTATTGCAAAAAAAAAAAGTCTTTTTAATGGGCAAAACACATTGATAATGCCATTTTCTAGACAAGACATTATATACTAGGATGAGGCTCTTTGGCCAATGTCCTGGGGGCATCACCGATGATCTGGCTGTCAAAACTTTAGGTAATAAAAACTTGGTGATAGTAGACGAATAGCAATTGTTTTAATTATGTGCACGGTTATATAGCTAAACACTGATGTTCACAGTTCTGTCACCTTCTTCGAATCAAAATTTACACAGCTTTTCTTTTAGATCAAGCTTCTTTCTTAATACCAGTGTGCCCCTTTCTCAGTAACACCGACATATCTCATCAGCATGTATCATGGTGCAGGTGCTAATCCGGGAAGATAGTTTAGTTCTTTGCTAGAGCCTCATACTCATCATGATCAGAAAACTTGAAGAAAGGTTAAGATACGTGTCTCCCTTGATGACGTAATTTATCCATTTTTAGTTTTTAATGGACACCATACTCCAATTTAGATTTTGTGGTTTTATAGAGTAGGTTCCATATGCTTCCCTTTCTTATTTCTTCCAAGTGTGAAACTGAAAAAAATTAGTTTGATTTATGCAGTTTGTTACGACATATCATTAATGTGTTATTTTGATTAGGGAGTCAGTCTGCCTTTATATCTCTGGACCATTTTTTTCTATGCAAAGAAGTATTTTCTGTAAGTTCTTCGATATTGGCACCAAGGGTAAAGGCTATAAATTTTTTTTTAGGATTTTATTTATTTGAGAGAGAGAGAGAGAGAGAGAGAGAGAGAGAGAGCATGAGTAGGGGGATGGGAAGGGGCAGAGGGAGATGAACAGGGAGCCCGACTCGGGTCTTGATCCCAGGACTCTGGGATCGTGACCTGAGAGGAAGGTGGATGCTTAACTGGCTGAGCCACCCAGGCGCCCCAAGGCTATACAATTTCTATCACGTTGGGCTTTCTAGTGCTTCTGCTTGATGGTACATCACTGAGAAGAAATGCAAATAAGACTAGGAGACAGTTTCCTGCTTCTTACAACAACTGGTGGGTATTGTTCACTGGAGTATCTCAAGATCCTTTCGTGTTTTCATTCTGTAATTTTTTTTTTAATTTTTATTTATTTACGATAGTCACAGAGAGACAGAAAGAGAGGCAGAGACACAGGCAGATGGAGAAGCAGGCTCCATGCACCGGGAGCCCGACGTGGGATTCGATCCTGGGTCTCCAGGATCGCACCCTGGGCCAAAGGCAGGCGCTAAACCACTGCGCCACCCAGGGATCCCATCATTCTGTAATTTTTAAGGAATGTGTCAAGAGTACTGCTCTATCCTATTCTCTTTGTTAAGAAGGAAGCTCTGGGTAGCTTTATATTTTTAGTAAAATGGACATGTGATATACTCCCTTAATACTTCTGCTGTAACTGATTAATAATAATCCTTTGAAGGCAGTTCTACTTAGCATGGGTCTACGTTTCAGGGCATGATTTTGTGAAGCATTGAATTCTGTGTATGAAGACATGACAAGGTGGCACTTTACTATTACGGCCTGCCGCTCGCTCATGCAGCCATTTACACATTCAACACAGATTTCTGAAGTCCTTTCAATGTGTCAGGCACAATTCTGTGCGTATAGTGTGGTTGCGTGTGTAGTGAACAAAACACAGCTAATGGGTGGAATACACTACCGCACTTATGTTTATACTGTTCACAGAACATTTAGGATACTGTGTTCCTTTGGTTAAAAACTCAAAATACCCATTGTGTTTTAATAGGTATTGCTTTACAAACATCCCGTTGTGTGACTCAGGAGGTAGCTCTGAATTCTGTGTATATAAAAACTTGTAGAATAAATTTGTTTGGCTTCTTTAACTTTACCCTATGTTACATGACAGGTTATCTGCTTTTTCAATTGTGTGTGTTTTAAGATTTATTAATTTATTTCAGAAAAAGAGAGAGTCAGGGAGGGGCAGATTCCCGCTGAGCCCAGAGCCCAACACAGGGCTTAATCCAATGACCCTGAGATCATGACCTGAGCCGAAATCAAGAGCCCGATGCTCAAATCAAGAGCCTGATGCTCAACCAGCTGAGCCACCCGGGGACCCCAATACTGGCTACTTCTTTTTCATCTTGGGGACATTTGCACAGTTCATGAATCATCATCCTGGTCATTCATGGAGTTGTCCGTAGAGAATGCTGTCATCAGATTTTGGATATTTAACATGAATATGTAATAAATACTCTGTCTACACCCCTATAGAACTAATAGTTATTATAACCTATGCATGCACTCTCTAATGCAGTAGCTGACAGCAATATATGAACATATAAATGAAATAAAATAAAATTTAAAATTCAGTCCCTCAGTCACACATTTCCTGTGACAAGTGTTCCATGTGATAAGCGGCAACAATATTGAACAAGGCAGGTATAGAACATTTTTATTATTGTAGATATTTCCCTTGGACAGTGCTGACTTAGACTGTACTGTTTTTTTTTATGTGAAATGGATTGAAGTGTAAAGCCCCAGAAAAATAAAATAAAATAAAGACCTTTTGCTTTTCCCTTTTAATGACCCAGAACTCTCACTCTATCATAAACTGCATAAACTTTACAACTTGAAATGTTTTGGAATGAAATGATAGAATTTGCTTAACCAATTGTTTCTGTATGCCCCCAAATATTTGTACTTATATCATTATATCAAGTCTTTGGAACTGTTTTTGTTCTAGTCAACAAAAATAGTTTGGATTGGCAGTTCTGTGTCTCCATCCACTAGTGGTCTCTTCACAAAAGCCAGGAAATAACTTTATATTACACTGACTAGACCAGTTCTTTGAAAACTACTTGGGTTATTGTTCATTAGTAAATATTATAAAATATTTGTTTATGGGATTTATTCTTATCCCAAGAATGTTGGCAATGCTAGCAATATTGACACTCCTTTGATTGGAACAAAGGGGGACTATAATAACCAAAGAGTGACTCAGAAGGATACCCTTATCTTGATTCTTGAATGACTTGATTAGTCTTAGGAAATAGGAAAGCATTCGTCCTGGGATGAAGGCTTTTGAAAAAATCAGATTATTGCCTTGTTTTTTTTTAAGATTTTATTTATTCATGATAGAGAGAGAGAGAGAGAGAGAGAGAGAGAGAGAGGCAGTGATACAGGCAGAGGGAGAAGCAGGCTCCACACAGGGAGCCTGATGTGGGACTCGATCCCGGGACTCCAGGATCATGCCTGGGCCGAAGGCAGGCGCCAAACTGCTGAGCCACCCAGGGATCCCCCCAGATTGTTGCCTTGTTTTGTGTCAATTTGAATTTCCTTAAATTTCAAGGAAACGGGAACTTTTTTTCTTTACTTTTACTGATATAGTGCATGGAGGCTATGTGTGCAATGAAAAAAAAGTAGGAAAGAAAGAATGGTGACATTAGATTTTTCATTATTATATTCCTAATATGTGAATTTAACTAAAACTTATACACCTCTTTAAAATATAAAATATAAAAAATAAAACTTCATCGTGTCATTTCTTAGTTAATGCCAATTGTTCTTTATAAAACATTTTTTAAAGGTTTTATTTATTTATTCATAAGAGACACAGAGAGAGAGGCAGGGACACAGGCAGAGGGAGAAGCAGGCTCCTTGCAGGGAGCCCGACGTGGGACTCGATCATGACCTGAGCCGAAGGCAGACGCTCAACTGCTGAGCCACGCAGGCGTCCCTATAAATTTTTTATATAGTACTATTAGATACTTAAATTGAATATGAAAGAACACTTAGAAATTTCTTCTCTATTTTTATGCTGTATTAATTTTCAAATTATTTTATTCACAGCTTTTTTTTTTCCTATTAGATTCTCTGGTAAAGTTAGTTTTTGGACAGTCATAAAATTACAGTCATTTCTAGTATTAGAGTTGTGATGGCAAACACAAGATTGTTGTGCTCACTTCGGCAGCACATATACAAACACCAGATTGTCTCTCCACAGGGTTTAGGAGAATAGAATACCAGATTGAAGTGGAACTGGGTGCATGGCTCTTAGATATTGAAGGAACTAAAAATACCATAGTGGTTAAAAATTTTTATTTTTTCAGTTATGATATATAATACTCATCCCTCAGACAAGAGTTTCTACCTTGAGAAAGCCTGACTAGTACTAGTAGTGTGTGTTTCAACCTAAAGTATGTATTTTGTCTTTATAACAAAGTGAATTTATAACAAGCTAAATTTCTGTACGTTTGAGAATTGTTTTTTGGATGAATAATCTTTTTCTAGTTTTAATTAATTTATTTTTAAGTTTTTATTTTAATCACTCAATGCTCATCAAAAGTGCACTCCTTAATCCTTATCACCTATTTCACCCATCCTCCCGCCGACCTCCCCTCTCAACCAACAGTTCTCTATAGTTAAGAGTCTGTTTCTTGGTTTGGTCAGTCTGTTTCTCTCCTTTTTTTTCCGCCCTTTGCTCATTTGTTTTGTTTCTTAAATTCCGCAAATGAGTGAAATCATATGGTATTTGTCTTTCTCTTACTTCACTTAGCATTATACTCTCTAAGCTCCATCCATGTCATTGCAAATGGCAAGATTTCAGTCTTCTTTATGGATAAATAATATTCCATTATGTATATATCTCTATCTCTATCTATCTGGCTATCTATCTACTTATCTATCTATCTATCTATCATCTATCTATCTAATCTATCTATCTCCATTCATCAATCAGTAGACATTGGGCTGCTTCCATATCTTGGCTATTACATATAATGCTGCAATAAACATCAGGATGCATGTACCCCTTGGATTAGTAAATTTTATTCTTTGGGTAAATTAGTGCAATTGCTGGATCTAATAGTAGGGTAACTTTTTAACTTTTTCCGGAACCTTCATACGGTTTCCCACAGTGGCTGCACCAGTTTGCATTCTACCCAACAGTGTAAGAGGGTTTCTTTTTCTCTGCATCCTTGCCAATACCTGTTGTTTCTTGTATTGTTGATTTGAGCCATTCTGACAGGTGTGAGGTGATACTTCATTGTGGTTTTGATTTACATTTCCCTATGGTAATTTATAATGAGCACCTTTTCATGTGTCTGTTGGCCATCTGTATGTCTGTTCATGTCTTCTGCCCATTGTTATATTGGATTATTTGCTTTGGGGGGTGTTGAGTTTTTATAACTTCTTTAAATATTTCAGGTGCACTGTTGAGACTTTTATCTAATTTTCATAAATATGAACATCTTTTCCAATAATTAAGTGGTTTCATAGGAATTAATCCCTCATGTGCTGCATACTAAATGGAATTATTTATAACAGCTAAGTGAATTATCTGCCAATAGGCTATTCGTCTCTTTATAAGAAGCAAGATTTATTCTTTAAAACATTTAACTGCAATCCTAGCTCTTCTGTGAGGTTCCACGAATAGTTTCTATTGAATGAGGGAGAGAAATGGAAAAGTATTTAATGTAGTAGAATTTTAATTCTATTAACTTAACATGTTATAACCACAATATAATGGTTTTGAGAACAATCATTGCAGCTGCTGGACCCAGGAAAGTGAGGCAAAGGAAAATGAAATTGTGTGTGTTTTGATGGAGGAATAGGTAGAGATGTTGGAAAAGAAAATCAAGTGTGTATTGTTTTATTTCAGGTGGCTGTTTCATTGGTTGTATTGTGGATACTTAGAAAGTGAGTATTCCTTGTCCTATTGTAGATTATATTTTGTTTCTATTGATTATTTGGGTCTTATTAAATATTATAATATCCAGAATGCTTCATTTCCCCATAGTATTATAGAGATGGAAAATTAAATTCTTTGTTTAAAATTGCGAGCATGTGCGGTGTCTGCAACTGTTTTTCCAGTTCCTACAGAATTTAGCTGTATTTTGTTTCCATAAATACAATAAAAATATTGGAAACAGCATTATACATTTAGTCCTTTCTCTGACTGCTTAATGTTTCAGTGGTGAAAAAATGTAGTCTACTTCATTCCAATATTAGGTCCTTGAGATCAAAGGTCTTACTTCTGCTAGTGAAATATGTTGTGTTTCCTCAGACTCAAGTTCAGTTTCGTCTACATGTATTGGAAATTCAGCAGGGAAGTTTGGTTGCCAAATAATGGTTTCTTTTTGCTTTGCAGCTCATCTTCTCAAGACAAAGGGAATAGCACTCAGAGCGTAAACAGCAGTTATGTAGTGATCTTCACCAGTACCAGCGCGTATTATATTTTCTACATTTATGTGGGAGTAGCTGATACTTTGCTTGCTCTGGGACTCTTCAGAGGTTTACCACTGGTGCATACTCTAATCACAGTGTCGAAAATTTTACACCACAAAATGTTACATTCTGTTCTTCAAGCACCTATGTCAACCCTCAACACACTGAAAGCAGGTATTTGACTGAGTATACAAAATGGTGCTGCTGATCCATAGTCAAAAGGTCCTAGGATTTTGTTGGTTTTCTAGCAGTAGTGTTGGCTTTTGATGGAGGCATCTGCCCCGTTGAAGATTCGTAATGACTGGCATGCATATTTCTTAGATATTGTAGGCTATCAGACCTTGAGGCTGCTCCTCATGTTTCTGTCTTGGCTAATTAGCCAATGTGTTATCCTGTGTTGCTGATGGGAGTGTAGCAACAGAAACAAGCCATTGGGTTAGCCATCCTTCTCGGTTCAGATATTTGGTCTAGCCCCCTTTCAGGCATCTTGTTGCCAATGTACAGTCTCATTTAAAAGAGAAGATTTGAAATGACCAAAGAAAACCTAAAATTCTTTTACCTATGAAGGCTGTAGAATAGGATGGTATAGAATAATTTAGTTTCATGTAACCACTCAAAGGTGATCAAATAAATTCGTTTTAAGGTTTTGTTTTTTGCTTTTTGGATCTTTTTTTTTTTGATGGAAGAGGAAGAATAAATTCCAAATGTATTTTTAAAGTATTTTTGACCCAACTATAGAGGTTGGTAACAGGGCAAAAACTCATCCCTTTAAGATAAAGACGGTCTGAGGATCTAATGTATGACATGGTGACCATAATTGATAACACTATATTATGTAATTGAAATTTACTAAGAGAGTAAAACTTAAATGTTCCCCCTCCCCCCAAAAAAAGGTAAATATGAGAGATTATGGAGATTTTAACTTTGTGTGGCATTAAGTATTAAGAATTTTGGACTTCATTATGTAGCTAATGGGGGGGGGTTGAATGAGAGGATTCAATATCACTTTTTTTGTACTATGGTATGTTTTATCTAATTGTGTCTTTATCCCTAGACAATGAATTCCTTAAGGGCAAGGAGCCCGGCTTATTCACCTCTGTTATCTCAGTGCCTAGCGTTACGTCTGGCACATCGTCAACATTCCATCTATAACTTTTTTTCATTGAAGGAAAACATCATCAGATTTATAAACATAAGTCTGGAATTCAGAAGACAGGCTGACGCTCAGGTTGCCAGTAGAGAGGGTGGAAAGAGGGAACATGGAAAAGGGGGGCCACACAACAAGGGGCAGAAATTAAGAGTAGCCATGGGTTCTGCAGAGTATGTCAGAAAGGCCTGGAAGTCGGAGGAGAGGGAGAGCCACACGTCGTGGAGTACAGATGTAAAGCGATGATGATTGCACATCCGGGAAATCATCATTACGTTCAAGCTCGCACGTGTGGGGTGGTAGCAATAGGATGAATCTTACCGTAATCCGTATTTTATAAGGGTTTAAACGTGGGAGACCATGACTCAACCACAGGGCTTAGGATCTCTGTACAACACGAGCGTTTTCTAAGTCTTTATTTATCCTGTTACGTGCTGATTCTTATTTGAGTTTTGAATATTTCTGCTGTGATCCAGATGGAACAAATATTGATATGTCTTTTTAAGATTACTGTTTTCTGAGCAATTTCTCTTTCTTTATATTACAGGTGGGATTCTTAATAGATTCTCCAAAGATATAGCGATTTTGGATGATCTTCTGCCCCTTACCATATTTGACTTCATCCAGGTTTGTAAAAATAAGAACTATTAAGTGTCTTTACATTTGTCATACTTTTAAAAATAGTTAGAAAAAGAAGATTAGGTTATGCTTATTTTTCATTTTGGGAGTTGAAGTCCTATCTATTGTGGGAATTTTGTCAATATCAAAAGTCTTCAAAATCGGCATAAATTTAGTAAATTCAGTGGTGATTCAGAGCAGTTTACCTGACCCGAACCTAAGGCAATTCCACATTTAGACGTGATAGCTGTGTACCGGGGAATGCTTTGAAAGACATAGTAGACCGCCTTTCCCTAACTGTCCACAAAGTATGACATTTTTGACATTGGCATTACTGTTTGATGGAAGTCACCTACCTCCAAAGGGCACGTGTTAGAAATGAAGACCTGTTAATCCTTGATGGGCTACAGTTTCAACCCATCCCACCCAGGAACACATTGGCCCAGGTTAGCTAGCCAGCAGCCTCAGGGTAGGGACCATAATACAGGGACTGTAGTACAGATACCTTTTCAAGCAGATGAGAAGGGAAAGAAAAATCCAGGACTCGTGAGGACCGTCCTTGGGTGACACATCTGAAGGGGCCACCAGGACAGCCTGGCTCTGAGCATGTCTCCCTGGAGTGTGGTGATTGAGTGGAAGTTAGAATGAGAAGAAAAGGAGGAGATGGAGATGAAGGTGACCTAGGGGATGCACCTTAGGACTCTGCAAGTGGAAGGACTTAAGGAGGGCTGTGAGTTAATGACCTTGCTGTTGGACCCAGTTTGGAGACAACTTCCTGTCTGGCTTAGGTCAAGCAAATGCCACAGTTTCAGTGATCTCCTTGGAGAGACAGCTGGAACATTGCAGCCCATCTTCGCATGAGTCATCCCCCCCCCTTCCCAATCCCCTATAATAATACTTTATTTGAGAGGACCTCTAAAACAAAATAAAGGCTACCACATTTGTGTGTATATGCAACCGACATTGGCAGGTGCGGAAAAACCAGATTGTCAGTTTGCCTCATCTGAAATGACTGGTGCGATTAAAATGCATTAACTGTTCCTTGTGAACTTGAGCATTTTGGATTTCCTTCCATTGCTGTGTTTAGGGCTGTAACTCAGCAATAGCTGCTGGAATTCTTTCACTGAGGTTTTGAGCTCAAACATTTGAAGGGACATGTCCTGTATCTTTCTTTAAATGTGGTTTATTTGTTCCTTGTTCCAGGAGTGGAAGTGACCGATCTCAAATATAATATTATTAAATTAGGTAAAAACTGGAACATGGATATTTTGACATGATTGCAAAACGACGACTCAAATGTTGGTCCTTGATGATGTACATACATATAAAAATTGTATATATAATTATATATATATAAATTTTTTTTGTAGTTTACTATTTTCTGATTCAGTGTGAAGCTCATTTCAGAAATCCTGTGGGAGAAATATTTTTAAGTATTTATTTTATAAGTTAACACTTTTTAGACACATGTGATGGCTCTGAAATCCTTTCTGTTATGGCAATGGAAATAGTTTCTGCTCAATTTCTAATGTTGCAGTTCATTAGTTGTGCTTTCACAAGTAATTAGGCAGGGCTCTTTTATTTATTTAATTTCCCTATTTTATTTATGAGGGCCTCATATTAAGGAAGCATAATATCTGACAATCAAATGGCAGTAAAAATCTGATTAGTTTTGATTTTATTTAATAATCAGTCATTGGGGCACCTGGGTGGTTCAGTAGTTGAGCATCTGCCTTTGTCTCAGGTCATGATCCTGGGGTCCTGGGTTCGAGTCCCACCTCAGGTTCCCTGCTCAGTGAGGAGTCTGTTTCTCCTTCTCCCTTTGTCCCCTCCCCACCTCAGCTTGTGTTCTCTCTTTCTTGCTCTCTCTCTCTCAAATAAATAAAATCTTAAAAAAAATAAAAATCAGTCATTCATCCTAGTTTTATTATAAAAAAAAATCCTCTAGATTGTGAGCTTCTCTAGCTATACTTAATTATGTTCACATTAAAGAAATGTTTTCGAGTTACAACATTACAGGAACAGATTTTTGCAGAAAATAAGGCATACCTGTAAATTTCCTTTAAAAAATAAATTTCTATTTACTGTTTGTCCTAACATTTAATAACGTTCTAGCAGAATTTGCTTTCTGGATTGGAACACTGTCTAATGGAAATGGAAGATCTGGATTCTGTTTCTAACCTGTAAAATGAAGTAGATAAATCTGATGATGGTGTCTTTCGGTACTCAAGTTCTGTGCTTCAGACCAGCATACTAGCAGTGGCCCACCCATGACACATTTGCTGAGGTCAGAAGCTAATAATTTAACACCAGCTGCCAAACTTAAGGCACCGGTTTAATATACTTGAAATTCTCATTACACGTAGAAACCTTAAATTCTGTCCTAGTTTTTAATTCAGAGGGGATACAAAACATGTCATTTTATGGGCAGCCCGGGTGGCACTGCAGTTTAGCGCCGCCTTCAGTCCAGGGCGTGATCCTGGAGACCCGGGATTGAGTCCCACATCGGGCTTCCTGCATGGAGCCTGCTTCTCCCTCTGCCTGTGTCTCTGCCTCTCTCTCTGTCTCTTCTGAATAAATAAATAAATAATCTAAAACAAAAACAAAAACAAGTCATTTTAGACCAGATATATTTGTGAGACAGAGAAAAACTATGCCTTAGCATCCTGTTTATCTCCATATTTGGGTGAATGATTTTTTTTTTTATTAAGTAGAAGCCTGTGTATTTTAAAATACCAAAATGTTCTCTTTTCAGCCACAAAACCCTTAAGTCTCTTTTATTTCTTCTCTCTTATCTGAATATTTAATTATACCCAGAGTCCTACTACGATTTCTTCTGTATCTTTCACATCTCCCCCCACATTCATTCTATTAATCCCCTTAATCCCTTACTTAAAAATTCATTTGTGACTTAAATTCCAAATCTGCTCTTCATATCATAGTTTTAAATAGGTATCTATCTATCTATCTATCTATCTATCTATTCATTAACTTATCCCCGATTTCAGAGTGATCCTTCATTCTTCTCATCTGCTCTAGTTTCACAGGCAGTGCTATGTGGCCTTTAGCATCAGGAATGCTTTTGAGCTGCTGTCAGTGGGTGAAAATGTGCTGCTTACCTCCTAGGACCATGAATGGGTGGTGCCTCGCAGGCTTTATGGCCTGTTGATTTTTTTTTCCTTTTTTAATGAGGAAATTTAGAATTTGGGTAAAGGTCATTGGCAATTAGACATCTGTGCTCCTGTTTCCATCCTGTCCTGAATTCCTTCTATTTATTTTGTTGTCCTCTCACTAATACACCTGACTGAAGTGACTTGTTTCGTACTCACTGTGAATTAAAAAAATCTAGGACAGAATTTAAGGTTTCTTTCGTGCTGAGAATATCATATATATTAAACTAGTGCCTTTAGTTTGGCACACAGAGTTAAATTATTAGTTTCTGACCTCAGTGCCAAAGGATGGCCTCTTATGTAGCAAATGGAATTATTTTTCTCAATGCTTAGACTCCTTTTTCACCTCCTTTTCAGTCTGAGCTATGTTCTGGATGATTATAATTCCTGGAAATTTATCTTGTGAGTGTTTCATAATTTCCAGTTGTAGCCACCTTCCTCATTCTTCACTAACCTCCTGTGATATCTTGGGTAGTCCGACTGTCCAATTATACCCATTTTATTGTAAGTTGCATTTTCATTCCTAAGAATCTCTAGCACATCAGCAGTCATGGAAACAAAATGGTCACTTTCTGCAACGAGTGTTATAATCCAGCCACACCAGATTGGAATTATATGGTAAAAATAGCACTAGTCAAATGAACACAGTGCTCTTTACAACTGTCTGCAGCAAATACAAGACCCTGATCCTAATGGAGTAGCTGAATGTTGTCACGATGCCAGTGCAACAACATTTGTCTTTCAGACATCCTGGTATTTATTTATTTTTTTTTAATTTTTTTTTATTTTTTTATTTATGATAGTCACAGAGAGAGAGAGAGAGAGGGGCAGAGACATAGGCAGAGGGAGAAGCAGGCTCCATGCACCGGGAGCCCGATGTGGGATTCGATCCCGGGTCTCCAGGATCGCGCCCTGGGCCAAAGGCAGGCACCAAACCGCTGCGCCACCCAGGGATCCCGACATCCTGGTATTTAATACGATAGTCTGCTTGATTAAATCATATTCCCTAATCATGCTTGGAACTTATACCCCCCTACTCCCCCACCCCTGGCAAAGATCCTATTTCTAGGAAATAAATGTCTTTGGTTAAAAAACTAGTTTGCTATTGAAGTCTTGTCAGGGAGTAAGTAGGGCCTTTGGGGCTTTCTCATTGTATTGGTGGCTCTTGTAGGGCAAAGATGGACTAGGGAAGACCTTCCTTAGATTTTTGAGGCATCATGTGTCCTTGGTCCAGTGCCTGGCACAGTAAAGATTTATCCGAGTATTTCTTGATGAGTGAGGGCTCTTAAGGCAGAATTAATTAGAGACATGGAGGCATTTCCCCTAGAGAGGTCACTGAGAGATTATCCTCTAATGTTTTAGATGGAAATAACAACGCACTCGAAGAAGATTTATTCAGCTCTTAGCTATACCCCCACCCCCACTGCCATCTACCAAAATATTCTGCATTTCACTGCATATTCAGCTGCAAAAATGCATGTGTCACCCCTGGAAATTGGTAGAGAACTGGCTCACTGATTATCATTTGGATGTTCTAATAAGTTTATTTTTTAACCCTTGTTGTGACATTATTTATACTTATTCAAATGGATTATGGTGGAGCAAATGCTAGCAGGCTCTTTTTCTTTTTAAAATGTATAGATTTGATATCATGTGGGAATAATAGAATATAAGCTTTTAACATGATTCCGAAGAACAACTAGCATGGTTAGCTTGTTTCTTTGATGTTTTGATGGATAATGTGAAGAGATATCTCTAACTGATGGGCTTGACTGAAGCACGAAGTGCATTTTGACAACGTAGGAGATGGAAATAAAATTAAATCAATTAGTCATATCCCAAAATCTTTTTTTTTGAGCCTTTAAAGTCATCTCCAATTATTTTAAGGAATAGGAACAGAAGAGTTGGGGAGGGGAATCACATTTATTAAATATAATTTTTAAAAATCTCAAACACGAGTCAACTATGCTTGAAAAAATTGTTTTATGCCTAAATGACCGAGTCTTCACTTAAACCAGATCTTTCTGACTCAAAAAGCTCCAAGATGAATGCCTGATTTTCAGGAATTGTGTAAACAAAATAAAGGCTAAAATTTCACATTTATATCAAAATTATTTCAAAATTAAATAAAATTATTTTAAAAGAAGGCCACGCTAGGGAAAAAAAATCATATTCATCTACAATTGTTTATTGTACACCCTTTTAAGGCATGTGGGAAGTGAGACCATCCTGCGACCCAAGGACACCATGTTTTCAAAACTTCAAGGTATTGTGCCAAGCAACCTGAGCAATTTTTTGAATTTTCATAGAACTTATGCAAAATGCTACTTTGCCAGGAAGATGCCCGCCCTTCGTTGAGAACGGAGCAGAGCACGAAGAGCTTCTTTGGAGCTACACCTCTGGCGTACCTTGTGCGTTACCGACGTGAAAACATTCACTCACCAAAGTGTTGTCTTTGATCTTGCAGTTGTTATTAATTGTGATCGGAGCAGTGGCGGTGGTGTCGGTTTTACAGCCCTACATCTTCCTAGCGACAGTGCCAGTGATAGCGGCCTTTATTATCCTGCGGGCCTACTTCCTCCACACTTCACAGCAACTCAAGCAACTGGAATCGGAAGGTAGGGCGCTGCAAGGGCAGCCCTTGCCCTGGGAGATACCCACAAGGCCGTTTGTATTCTCTACCTGCTTCCCTCTGCCTACTTTTTCCATTCCCCCCAACCCCTACCCCCAACGGCTGTTAAACTCCTACATAATGTGACAATGACTTTTAAAAACACATGTGTATGCAAAAGGGTACAGTCAATTCCAAAGCACACATAGATGGTTTCTGCTAATGACCGTGAGACTTCATTCTGGCTTTAAAGCAAGTTATAAGGGTTGTAGTGTACGATGCTCATTCATCATGAACTTGCGTAAATTCAACTTTAAAACGATAGGGCTACTATTACTACTAAAGCTTTGTCTGGGCTCCCAAACAATACCAGGCACAATGTTTCATATACCCTTCCTGCTCTCCTGGGGTCTCCCTTTCTGTGTGCACCCCCCTACCCTGACCCCTGCCGCTCCCCGAGCACGGCCTGAGCTGTTGGGGAAGCACATCTCTCAGTAATGGCTTTGGCGCCAGTGCATCTTCAGGGTTAAATCTCCAATGTGTTTCTATTGAAGGTTATTGTCTAAATGAAGTCACATAAACTTAAATAAATGGTCCCAAAAGAAAAACATGGTCTCTCAGCAATGATTAATATAGGATTGCTGGGGGCAGGGGGAAGCACGCAGTGAAAGCCAAGAAATATGAATAAAATATGGCATTGATTCTATAAAAAGCTCTCGTCCATGATGGCCTAGTAAAAAAAGGAGGCTAATTCATTAAAAACAACAGCAACAAACCAAATTGCATCTATTCAAGGTATGGCCCCAGTACGAAAACCCTCTAACGAATGACATTTAGTGTACGATTACCCTTTTTGAAGCTAATCTTTTTCAGGTCCCTGGTAGTAAGAATTTGCATCACGTCCTTACATGATTTGTGTTGTTTTCTATGGGAATATTTTGCAGGCAGGAGTCCAATTTTCACTCATCTTCTTACAAGTTTAAAAGGACTGTGGACACTTCGGGCCTTTGGACGCCAGCCTTACTTTGAGACTTTGTTTCACAAAGCTCTGAACTTACATACTGCCAACTGGTTCTTGTACCTGTCAACGCTGCGCTGGTTCCAAATGAGAATGGAAATTATTTTTGTCATATTCTTCATTGCTGTTACCTTCATCTCCATTTTAACAACAGGTGACATGGACTTTTTAACTATGCGACTGACCATTCAATTGAAAACTTTGTCAACCCCAAACTGCTACAGTCTTACTGGTTAAACATTTTAGGTATCTTTGAATAGATTTTTTTGGGGGGAGGGGAGAGGAGTTTATTAATCTTAAAATTCATCTATGGTGGGACAAATGATTTCTTTGAATTAGAGCTGTGTGATCTCAGCATTATAGTTCGAAAAGTAGACTCAGAGCGTACAGTAACAAATCTGTGATTGAGAGAAAAAAAAATCATCTTTTGACTCATATTAGTAAAGAATCCTGGCTTCAAAAATTATAGATCTTGTTTATTCAAGAGCTCGCTGAATAGGGGAAAAGAAACATCCCCATTTATACCCATAAACACACAAAAATCCCCCTCCCTGGTAAATTGGTTTCTTTTAACCACCATTTGGTGCAACTCATTACCCCAATGTGAATTTTACACGATGAAAAACTACCCTAGGGCAGCCCGGGTGGCTCAGCGGTTTAGCGCTTTCAGTCCAGGGCCTGATCCTGGAGTCCCGGGATCGAGTCCCACGTCGGGCTCCCTGCATGGACCCTGCCTCTCCCTCTGCCTGTGTCTCTGCCTCTCTCTCTCTGTGTGTCTCTGTGAATAAATATATAAAATCTTAAAAAAAAAACTACCCTAGAAGTGAACTAACTTAGGTAGAAGTACCAGATTTTTAAAAATATAAATGTCTTGTATGCCCGCATTGGGCTCCCCGCAAGGAGCTGCTTCTCCCTCTGCCTGTGTCTGCCTCTCTCTCTGTGTCTCTCATGAATACACGGATAATATCTTTAAAAAAAAAAAAAGTCTTAAATTTTAGGGTCTTTGGGTGACAAACACAATACCTTTCACCATGAGTAAAATGAAAATCTATATGGACAAATAAGCTTTAATTTAAGAAGTTGAATTACTAAAAAAAAAAAAAAAGTTGAATTACTGAGTTAGACGTGTTGAAGTAGGCTATACATGTGACAGCGGACCCAGATTCAGAGCACCTGCCACATCTAAGGGACAGTTTGGTTGTCCGAGTAGAATCCTGCTCCAGCGGAGTGCAGCATGTGCTGGGGTCGCAGGGATGCCCCACGAGGCCCAGGGCAGGAGGCTCAGGAGCCTGCAGGGGAAACGGAGTAGGCGTAGACGGAGTGTTGCAAGATGACTTTAGTTCAGGCCCTGTCCGTCAGAGCTGATTCTTAGCCAGAGTCAATGTTAGCCACACGTCTAATACCAGTCCTGCCTCTACTGGCCTTCAGCTCCGGTAACTTGTACACATTAATCAGCTTCGCTAAGGCCTTCATTTTCTTCATATGTAAACACACATAATAAGAGCACCTCCCCTATGGTTTGTGGTCTCTAGTGTTAAATGTGATCGTTTGTGCAAAACACTTAGTAGAGTGCATGGTCCCTCGTAGACACCCATAAAGCTTATAGTATTTATTATTGTTATTATTATTAACATTTTATCTTACTCCCATCTTAACTTTCAGAATGAGTAATACACTGGGGCCCTGATAAATCTTACCTACTTAGAACAAATGATTTAGTGTTAAAAGCACATGCCTTCTACATGTGGTTTGTCTTCTGTCAGAGGAAACATGGAAGAAAAAAATTCAATTGATAATAATAGGGCAAATTACTTCTCCCGATTTTAGAACCCAGTGACAATAATCTTCTCCTGTATTCCAGTTGCCAGGACTGACTCTCAACCGAGACTTGATAACCTAAAGTTTTAAGACCTTTCCTGTTAGAAAATTTTTAGGACCATGAATTAACGGTCCCCTCCAGCCCTGAAAACCATTTATTCTAATTAAACACTCAAGTATTGTTCTTCCTGGGTGAACTAGTCACTTTTTTGTTTCTTTGTTTAAACATAAAAGTCAGCTTTCTCCCTTTCTCAATGGCAGACCCATGAGTTTTCACTTCCCCATGAAACCTGAAGTCTGCTCCCCCCACCCCCTGCCACCAAAGCATCTGATTAGCAGAGAAAGTCCTCCTCACAAAGGCAGGAGACGTATCTAAACATCTTCTGGGTGCTGCTCAAACACACCTTTCTCCTGCTTTTGACTTCTTTGTGGAGGAGCTCATCTGGATATAGAAGTTTTTTTTGCATCGTCCATCATAGTCGTTGAAGGTATGGTTACTTACAGAGTAGTAGAAGAGATGACCGCAGTATTGACCCGACACCAGCATCCCCTCAACAACTGAAACCTCTTCAAAAAAGGGCAACTCTTCCCTAATTGTCACTCTTTAATTTGAAACATTAGTTGAACGCTTAACTGCATGCAGAACCTTATTACCGGTGGTACATGCTGTGGTGAACTGAGACGAAAGATGGTTGAGATGAGCACAAAACTGGAATGTAACTTGAATAGGACATACGCCCTGGGAGCAGCACAAAGTGGCTCACCGAAGAGAGAAATAACTATAAAGCCTGTTTATATGTTTTTCCCCACCTATAGGTGAAGGAGAAGGAACAGTTGGTATTATTCTAACGTTAGCCATGAATATCATGGGTACGTTGCAGTGGGCTGTAAACTCCAGCATAGAGGTGGACAGCTTGGTAAGTAATTATTATTTTTCAACTTCTGTGAAAAAGTTTGGACAAATCAGAAAGTATCGGTAATGACATAAGGGACAATTACTTACCCAACCGCCAGTTAATGAACAGAACATCACCGATAAATCGAAGGCTACTGTGTCTCTCACATTAGACCCGTATCCTTTCCTTCCTCCACATAGACAGCCACTCTCAAGATCCTGTGCTGCGGTGAAAAATCCCGGGCAACGATTTTTCTGGGACAGATAGACGGGTGTGGCATGACTGGGTCCCAGAATTCACCCGCATTCAGCTTCACCACATGGGGCCGAATTGTTCTCAGATATCTGGTGTCAGGTCCTACTCCCATCAAGAGCGTGTAAGGGTTCTCATTGGTCTGTAGCTTCTGCCACACTTGAGGTCGCTGGACCTCTTAATTTTGGCAGATGGGAAGTGATCACTAAGGAGATAGGGCTGCTTAATACATATTTATTGGCTTTCTCTTCCGTTAGCTTATTTCTGTCAACTGCTGAGTGTTTTTCTTAATTGGTTCACAAGAGTTTATGAATTCTGGGGTAACGGTCAGTCCTGTCTATTTTTAAACACAGTCCTCTGGTCAATGGCTCAGCTTCCAGTGTCTTGACGAAGGGAAGCTTTTAAGTTGAATGCAGTTAATTTCATGAATCGTTCCCTTTATGTTTTGATGTCTTGTCTAAGAAACCCTTTTCTGTCTTGGGTTTTCCAGTTGCTCAGCATTGCATTTTTCATAGTATTCTTGGGTTGTTTTTTTGTTTGTTTTGTTTTTAATGTTTTAAATTTCCAGTCTTTAGCGATAGCTCCTTTCTCATTCCTAGAGTGTTTCTTTTTGCTTTCTCTCTTTTTGTTTAATACTCCCCCTCACTTTATGTACTCTGTTAGAGTGTACAAAGACCGTGTTTTGGTTTTGTTCTGTCTCTTGTCTTGGTTTCTTGGAATGCGCAGCCTGCAGTAGCATATAACTGAGTGAACACCATCAGGGGCACACACCCCATGGCAGCAAGAGTGGGAGATAAAAGGAAGAAAGGCAGATTTCCCACTTGGAGTTAAAAAGATACATGGTTTTCATGAATCGCATTATCATTAACTTTTATTAGTCCGCCTGGAATAGTGTATTTAAAATCAATCATCCATTACTGCGTTCGCTGAGAGCCTAGAGGGCCAAGTTAATGACCGTATATAAAACGCTGCCATCACACTTTCTCCTAAGTTCCTTCTCCATTCTCCGAGGTAGATCCCATGGTCCCAGGATGCATTCGTTCATTCAGCTGTGACAATTTTCTAACCCATTCCTATCAGAATGAGTATCATCATAGGGCGTCCAGGTGGCTCAGGTGGTTGGGGGGACACCCTTGACTTTGGCTCAGGTCATGATCATGGGGTCCTGAGATTGAGCCCTGTGTTGGGTTCCACCCTCAGGGAAGAGTCTGCTTCTGTCCTCTCCCCTCTCCCCCTGTTCACATGCTCTCTCTCTCTCTAAAATAAATAAGTAAATAAATCTTAAAAAAAATCATCTTTAAAAATATCTCTAGGGGAAAAAACAAAACTTTTCATGCCCTGTTTCTCCCCACGTGTCTTAATATTTTATGTAAGCAAAGCATTTTAAAAATTCATTGACATGTAATTCAACCCTAACATGATTCATAATAGGGTCTCTCTCTTTTCCTTGAACATTATTTTTGGGGGTTTGGCCAGCTTTTTCAGTGACTCCATTTATCTCTCTTCACTTAACTCTTAATGCTTTTGGGTTTGGATCTCATAGATGTACTTAGAAATGTTTCTGTTGGAAAATAGCAGAAGAGTGGATCAGTATTGTGCCTGCATTTATTTAATTTTTTTGTTCAAACTTTCTACTATGTTGACTTTACAATTAAAATCTTCATATACTTCACTTCGTTATCTAAAAATATCTCTACACCTTGTATATGCCCAGTTCTTTTACTGAATTAATTTCTTGGTTTATGAAGCCTCTATACATTTGATGTTGAAGCATTTGGCCCATTTCTATTCTGCATGTCCAATCTCCACTAAAGTTTCTTTCATTTTTTTTTCTCCACTAAAGTTTCTTTAAGGTATTTTTACTTCTCTGGTTTTGTGCATGGGCATCCTGAGCTTTGTAATCTGTGTTTTGACATTGTGTCTTTCATCTTTTGGCATAAAAGAATATTTGCAAAGAACTATTTATTATAACACAGTCTATGGAAAGGATCAATATTTATATTTGATTTTATTTTAAAAAGTCGTGTTCTTTTGTTTGAGTATCAAAGTGATCATGTTCGTTTTCATTTCCCTGCCAAATGGTACAAGCGGTCTTCCCTTGTGGGCATTCTTCTAATTATTGATTCCCATCATACTGCTTTTACCGACACACCTACCAGAGTGGTATAGTGATCTTTTCATTTTCACCTGACATGTGTTGAGGGTAGGAGAGGAGACAGCCGTGCCCTCAGATTTCACCTCTGTGTGATGTTAACCCTGAAGGTTCTTGTGACCTCTGAGGGAGAAATCCGATGTGCTCTCGTGTTACATTACTGAGTGTCTTAACTGAATTTAGATCTGAGTTTAAATGCAGTAAACAGGGTGTTTCATTTGATTTCCACTTCCAGTTTTCCAGTGTAGAGCTACTTAGGAAAAGAAAAAATATCTTTAGACTTAGAATATTTCATTTATGTATCTGTCCTAGTTTAGACAGAGGCACGGAATCAAACATTAGCGGAACTATGAAGTAATAGAAACAGCAGGATGACTTTTCTTTTACTGCTCATCAGGTGCTTACACCAGGTGCCCGGCTGTTATTAGCCTTGGGCCAGTAAGGGCAGTAGTTGGGTGACAGCCCTTCCTCACGGTTACTTCATGTCCCTCTGTATTTGTAACTGCCTACTCATCTTGGTTATCGGCTCTCCAAGCTCACCAAAAGCCCTTCGACTGCATTTTCCTAATGAATTCTTTATTATAGTCCCTAAGATAGCTCTTTTCCACCTTCTTATCTTTTCTCGGGAGCTCCAGTAATTCCACTCCCTGCGCTCTCAGCCCTTGACCTTGCTACATACTTCATAGAAAGAACCAGATGCAACCAGAAAGGATTTCCTTGTTTCTCTCCACCAATTGCACCAGCCTGCTGCACCTCTCTACTTGTATGCTCTGCCTCTGTGTCCTTGTTCCTATTTCAAGGCCAATAATATGCAATTACCTGCTTTTTGTGGGGCCTCTCTCCCCATCATAAAACTACCTCCCCTTGATGTCTAACACCTCTTTTCTTTGATCTATTTATAGCACAACTGCTTGTAAGAGGGCCTGGCTCCATTTCCTCCTTCCCGTTCTTGCCACAGCCACTTCACTTGGTTTGCATCAGCCCCATGACTCATGATCAACGTCTTGCCAGAGCCGATGTCTTCGTCTCGCTTACCGTCTCAGCAGTCCTTATGCCACGGACAAATCCCTCTTCTCTCACTACCATCATGCTCCTCTGGCCTGCCTCTGCTACCTCTCTGGTTCCTCCTTAGTTCTCCTTGCTGGGCCCTCCTCTTACAGATCTCTGGACATTAGCTGTATTCCAGCCGTCTTCTGTCTCTGTTCTCTAGCTGCTACCATCCAACTCCGTGCTTTAGATACCATCTCTCGGACGCCCGGGTGGCTCTGTGGTTGAGCATCTGCCTTGGGCCTAGGGCGTGATCCTGGGGTCCTAGGATGGAGTCCCGCATCGGCCTCCCCACAGGGAGCCTGCTTCTCCCTCTGCCTCTCTGTGTCTCTCATGGATGAATAAATAAAATATTAAAAAAAAAAAAAGGTAAGCGACCGTCTCTCAATCACTCATTTGTAACTCTGGTTGAGACCATCCCCCTCCTCTCTGAAGATACACGACCAACTTGATGCCTCTGTATGGTTAGAAAGCACAGTGATAAGAATGTCTTCCAGTAAGCTTGACATTTGGGGGCCTAAGTTCTTGTTTGGAATCTCCTCAAAATACCACACTGGGGTATCAGGAGGCCATTAAAAGGGAACAAATCTTCTATTCTACCTACTAACTTGTCTGGCTTTATATAGTAGTGAAAAAAATCATCTGAACATTGTCACCTTATGAATGACATAGTTTAATAGGTTGTGAATCACCCCAGAAATTTTTAAAAAATAGTAAAATTATCAGAGAGTCAAATTTAATAATGCCCACTGGAAACCCCCATTTTAGGGAATTTCCAGTTATTTCGGTTGATAGCACGATGTTTTAAACCATGTTATTTCAAATTCACTCTTCATTTCAACATGAATCGTGTATATGTCTGTCTATTTCACTTGTGTATTTTGTTCTATGTCATAGATGGGGTGAAAAAAAGAAGTGTTAATTCATTTTAACTGCATACCTCAAGTACTATATGAATTACAGTTATTATTGCTAAAGCTATTATTTTAACTTTTTTGTATTCTTAACAAATCTGTGTACTGATTTATATTCTTTGGATTCATGAGATACCTGACATTTTTAGAACCCTAAAGCTTTTCTCTGTCCTGTTGTTAGCTACACAAGCATTGTGTATCTTTTTTTTTAATAAATTAATTTTTATTGGTGTTCAATTTACCAACATACAGAATAACACCCAGTGCTCATCCCGTCAAGTGTCCCCCTCAGTGCCCGTCACCCATTCACCCCCACCCCCCGCCCTCCTCCCCCTCCACCACCCCTAGTTCGTTTCCCAGAGTTAGGAGTCTTTATGTTCTGTGTCCCTTTCTGATATTGTGTATCTTAAACAGGAATGTGTAACTATATTTCTGCCTCTGTGAATGAACGAAAATTAAATAAATCAGAGTTAGAATGGGTGCAGAGGTGATGTTTCAACTTTAACAATACCAAGCCATCTGGTGACTAATAGATTACCCATGCTCCAAGTCTGTTTGAATGAGGCAGCTGACAATTCATGTATTTTCAGGACTATCACTTAGGGAGCACAACTAAGACATCTGAGCATAGGAATAGTGTCCTGCTTCCCTAATTCTCTAACTACAGCAGCTGATAAGACAGGCCTGTGGCACTGTGTGTTCCTAATAGCACAAGAAGAAGGAAGCCACCAAGATGAGCTGGGGAGGCTGTGTATCTGCAAGGCTCACATTTAGATTCCAGTTAAGGAGGCTCCAGAAAGTTCTTGCCAGAGTGATGCAATCTGAAAAGAGTTTTCTGTCAATAGAAACTCCCTGTTTCTCCTTTATCCTTTTATTGCCTGTGTTTATTTTGGATTCCAGGAAAGATCAAGTGACTGATGCTACAGTGGCCACCAAGAAATCTGGCTTCTCTTCGTTGCTTCTGGCGCCTAATTCTCTTGTATTGAAAGCAGTTTTTGCTCTAAGAATTTGAGGGGAGGATTCAGTCCTCCTATTTCTCCCCCTTCTTTCGATAGTCTCTTGATATTTCTCTCTGTTTTTCTGTTCTCACAAGGCTTTGCGACATGCTTCACCTTCATGACATCTGTCCCAAGACTTCTTTTCATCCAAACATGTTCTTTCTGTCCTGCAGAGTGGCTTTTCTACTCTGCATTCCACGCTGGCATTATCACCAGGATGCTGAGTGGCCTTAGGCAAGTCATGAGCCCCCTGAGGGCTTCACTTTTCTCTTTGTGAAAGGTAACAGTTTGGGTAGAAGTTTTCTAAGGTCCATGTCAGCTCTGATATTCTTTTCTGAATCCTTTTCATATGAAAGACTTCAAGTCTTGATTGGCATGCATGCATGTAGGCCTGATGCCAGATGCCCCCAGGAATCAGACCTGTCACCCTCCCTGACAGCTAAACTCCAGTGATTAAGTCATCTACCGCTGCACTTGTCAGAGCGGATCAAAGAACTGAACCCGTGTGTTACTAGAGCCAACAAAGGGAGAGAAAGTGCCCTTGAGATGTTCTAGAGTCTTGAACTAGTAGGAGAGGCTGATGAGAGCCATAAAGGATTGCTAGAGTGTTAGAAAGTTTGGAAATTTTGTTGGCTTTCTGCATGTGACTTTAACTTCCTGGGTTTAGATTTTTTTCACTTGTACCAAGAATGAATAGATCAGATCAGAGGTTCTCAACCTCAATGGCACACGAGGAATCTTTAGAAAAATACAGATTCCTCAGGGTCCTATAAGATCCATTATATCAGTCCTTTTGGTCAGGGGCAGGGTGACGGACAGGATGTCTATCTATATTTTGAAAAGTGTTTCGGGTAATTCTAATGTGCACCTAGACTTGTGAATCACTGGATTAGATGATATCCAATATTCATTTTACCTCTGATTTTTTGGTATATTGTAGCAGGGGGTCAGCAGATATTTTCTATAAAGGGTCAGATACTGTTTTTAGCTTTTTGAGCTCTATGGTCTCTATGGCAACTACTCAGCCTTTGTAGGGCAAAGCTAATGTAAACAATTGGGTGTGACTGGTTTTGGCCATTGATCCATAGTTTTGCTGATCTCTGGTCTATGGAATAGAATTTACTTTGGAATTGATGGATCACCAGCAAATCATTTTTGCCCTATATATTAACTAACATATATTTGTTATATATATGTAGCTATACATAAAGGAAGATGCTTAATACCAGGACTTTGGAGAAGCTAAAATATTTCAAAATTAAGATGCTTAGAGAAAATCTTATTAAAATCGTATAAACTTTGAAAAAAATTTTGATATGGTGTTTTAGACTCCTTGAGATTTCCTTTGAAATACTTTTAATGGATATCACATGGACCCAGTTTTATTTATCAAGCACTTGCTGATGGCCTGTCATGTGCTTTTAAAAAATAATACCAGATAGAGTGTAAGTAAGTTCAGGTTCAAGTAATAATATTCGTGTGGCTCAGAATTTTCAAACTATCCATCTCTGGCTCCAAAAGTTAATTTTTGAAACTTGAAAGACCAGAATTGATTTTCTCTACTCTAGTTCTGTTGTGGCTTCCCCGTTAAAAAGCAGTGGAAGTAGAATGTGCCAGTTGGAGAGCCTGTGAGGTACAAGAAGTTAGTAATTTATAATATTGTCTGGCTGCATCATCTTTTCAGTAATAGCATTTCAGTGGTTGCAAAAGTGGCCACAGTGCAGGTGTCTGCACTAGCCACATTTTCTCTTCATCAGAAAGTGTTCTAACCCGCTGAATTGAATGAGTTTCTGCTCAGATGCTGTGATGAGTGCCCATGGCTGAGATGAACTTGTTCTTGGTCAGGGACATTTGGCTATGCTGTGAGTAGCTATAATAGCCTGTCTCAGGGTCACTTTAAGCAAACTAGACTATATGAAAGATGATTGAGCTGAAAAGTTAGTTTTACATTCTATTTACTACATTTAAATGTCATTTTCTAATAATACATATAATTTTGAGTCATTTAGGTAACAATATTTAAGTGTTTTGCTTACCATATGGAAGTATTAAAATATGAAGGATTTTTGTCGATTGTGTCTTTCTTGATATATTTAACAAAGACTAGTCTAGAATTCTTCTCAGCATCGACATGCAAAAAATGTCTTTATTTTATGAAATTAAGTTTCATTTCTGCATTTCTTTCAATCATTTCAAGAACATAATATTATTCTTTTGCAGGATAAGTACAATAAAATATTTTAAATGCATTTGAGCTATTTTTCTGGCAGTTCCATCTGAATGGTAGTTACAATTCTAATTGATCTTTCAGACCTTGTATAGGCTAGCAAATTTCTAGGAAAATTAATGACAATGTAATGCAAAAGTATGCTTTAATTAAAAAAGAAAACTGAATCAGGATTTAACAACCTCTGAAAGTCACCTGTAATTTGGAATTGAAAACATTATGTGTGAGAGCCACTCTAGAGTTATTTATAATGGATGTGGGCTTTGGATACTTTTCCATTAACAATGGGTTTGATTTAAAAAAATTCTCCTCTTGAATCTTGAAAAATTATTAAAGATGATATGAAGATTTTTCAAGATGAAAAAAGTAGAGCAAGAAAATTACTAGATGGAAGAACTTCACAAACAGCAAACTTGATCAATAGCATGTGAAACCAGCAATACAATTACATTGCTAATAAGATGGAATTTTTAATGTTCAATCAAGGATCAATATTTAAATTCCTCTGATTTATTTACCAATAATTCCACATTAAAGATGAAAAAAATTTCCTGTCCCATGTTTTGATAATGAAAAATAGTAATAATAGAAGCAAATGCCCTGAATACATTTCTTTCCACCTTCCTTTATTTTGCAAAAGATATCATTTTTAATAATCTAAGCCTTAACTATAACTAAGGCTATAAATTAACATTGTAAAGGAGAGGGTTGAATTTTTTTTTAATTTTTATTTATTTATGATAGTCACAGAGAGAGAAAGAGAGAGAGGCAGAGACATAGGCAGAGGGAGAAGCAGGCTCCATGCACCGGGAGCCCGATGTGGGATTCGATCCCGGGTCTCCAGGATCGCACCCTGGGCCAAAGGCAGGCGCCAAACCGCTGCACCACCCAGGGATCCCCTAGGGTTGAATTTTGACTGAGGAAAGCCAGAATCAGTAATTACTTTTCAGACAAAAAAAAAAAAAAAAAAAGCAATCAATTTCCTTGCAGGAAGCTAGTAATTCCTGAGAAGGGCTAAGTCATCAAGGATATCTACTAAAAATAGAACTTGAGTGAATTCAAAGTCTTCAACTCTTTCTTGTTATTAATTTATTTATTCATATATGTAATCATTCACATATTCCTTTATGAATTTTTCAAATATTTATTAAGTGCCTATTATTTGCAAGACTATTTTAAAAATTAAATTCCAAATTGCAGTAAATCATAACTATCCAGAGATATATGTTCTTTTCGAAGAATTTAAGCACCTTTAAGAAATACATGAGCTCTTTTATTTCTGTGTACATTAAAGGTGTACTTTATTAAATGTTACATGAATAGATTTACAGAGCAATTGTGTATTTAATTTCATATACAATTTTTATATACAGTGACATTTTCCTCAGCAATGGAAATTGATCTGTAAGTAATTTGTATTAAAAATGTAATCATTTACCGCAGATATAGAAGAGTGACTTAAATTTGTTTGAAGATTATTGTGAGGTCATTCAAAATTTACTGAGCATCAAGGGTCCACTTGCCACCCAGCTGACCCAGAGAATTGTAGACACTTTTTAAGGCAGTTTGAGAGGTGAGAATCTTCAGTAGTGGTTTTGAGGTGTGGAATGTTTTATTATAATATACCAGTTGTACAACAGTGTGCAGTGTTGCTCATAGTTGAAGAAAAAATTTCCCCTTGACATCATCTATTCCTTTGAGTATAGTTTGTCTATTGATGTGTGGCTTGCATAACTAAGAATTAAATGATCACAAAAATAAACAGGTCTATACAGAGCCCATTTATATAAATCCTAGTTAATTCTCTTTGGTTAAGCTTTTAATTATATCCAATTATCCTGTTAGTTCATTGAAAAACCTCCTGACAAATAACCAGGTGACGACGAGCAGCGTCACATCTTACATGTTATTTTGTAAGGAAACATCACACTAATTATGACATTGCCTGCAGGTATTAAGCAAACAAAAATAAAATATTGTTATTTCATTTCAGATGCGATCGGTGAGCCGAGTCTTCAAGTTTATTGACATGCCTACAGAAGAAAGTAAACCACCTACCAAGTCATTCAAACCATCCAAGGATGCCCAACTCTCAAAAGTTACGATTACTGAGAATCGGCATGTGAGGGAAGATGATATCTGGCCCTCAGGGGGCCAAATGACTGTCAAAGACCTCACAGCAAAGTATATAGATGGTGGGAATGCCATATTAGAGAACATTTCCTTCTCAATAAGTCCTGGCCAGAGGGTGAGATTTAAATATTCTTTGCTTTGTTTGACCTGTGTTTAGTAAGTAAATCTCGGTAGCCTCAAGCAATGCCTTGGTAAAGTCCATTGGTAGCATTATTATTATTACAGACCAGGCCAATATTGAATACACATATTTCAAGTTATTAAATATGAAGCCATTATTTTTTCATGAAGACACATCTGGGAAGAAGTTGCTATAGCCGATGTCGAAGAGTTGACTGCCTGTGCTCTCTTCTAGGATTCTTATGGTTTCAGGTCTCACATTTAGGTCTTTGATCCATTTTGAATTTATTTTTGTGTCTGGTGTAAGAAAGTGGTCCAGTTTCATTCTTCTGCATGTGGCTGCCTGTTTTCTCAGCATCCTTTGTTGAAGAGACGGTATTTCTTTTCATTGGAGATTCTTTCCTGCTTTGTCAAAGATTAACTGACTACATAGCTGTGGGTACAATTCGGAGTTTTCTATGGTGTTCCATTGATCTATATGTCTATTTTTAAGCCAGTAAAATAATGTCTTGATCACTACGGCTTTGTATTGTGATATAACTTGAGGTCTGGAATTGTGATTCCTCCAGCTTTGCTTTCTTTTTCAAGGTTGCGTTGGCTCTTCAGGGTCTTTTGTGGTTCCATAGAAATTTTAGGATTGTTCTAGCTCTGTGAAAAATGCTGTTGGTATTTTGATAAGGGATTGCATTAAAAGTGCAGATTGCTCTGGGTAGTAGAGACAATTTAGCAATATTTGTTTTTCCAATCCATGAGCGTGGAATGTCTTTTGATTTGTTGTGTCATCTTCTGTTTCTTTCATCAGTGTTTTCTAGTTTTCAGAGTACAAGTCTTTCACCTCTTTGGTTAGGTTTATTCCTAGGTATTTTACTATTTTTGGTACAGTTGTAAATGGGATTGTTTTCTGAATTTCTCTTTCTGCTGTTTCATTATTGGTGTATAGAAATGCAACAGATTTCTGTACATGCTTTTGTACCCTGCGACTTTACTGAATTTTTTTTTAGCATTTTTTTTTTGGATAGGATCACGTGGATTTTCTATATAGAGTATTATGTCATCTGCAAATAGCGAAAGTTTTACTGCTTTTTACCAATGGATGCCTTTTATTTCTTTTTGTTGTCTGATTGCTATAGCTAGGACTTCCAGTACTGTGTTTAATAAAAGTGGTGAGAGTGGGAGAGTGGACATCATTGTCTCGTTCCTGACCTTAGGGAAATAGCCCTGTTTTTCCCCATTAAGTATGATGTTGGCTATCGGTTTTTCATAGATGGCCTTTATAATGTTGGTATGTTACCTCTAAACCTACTTTGTAGAGGGTTTGTATCATTAATGGATGTTGTACTTCATCAAATGCTTTTTCTGTGTCTATTGAAATGTTCATATGGTTCTTCTCTCTTATTGACGTGATGTATCATCGTTGATTAATGTTGACTGATATGTGAATATTGAACCATCCTTGCAACTGAGGAATAAATCCCACTTGGTCATGGTGAATAATTTTTTTGAATCTATTGTTGAATTTTGTTTGCTAGTATTTTGTTGAAGATTTTTGCATTTATGCAATATCAGGTGATATTGACTTGTTCTTTTTTTTTTTTGTGGTGTCCATATCTGGTTTTGATATTAGGTTAATGGTGGCCTCATAGAATGAATTTGGATGGGTTTGTTTTTTGTTGTTTGTTTTTCCTTTTCTATTCTCTCTTCTTGAGAAGATGTATTAACTCTTCTCTAAATGTTGGTAGAATTCACCTGTGAAGCCATATGGTTGGTCCTGGACTTTTGTTTTTTGGGAGTTTTTTGATTACTGATTCAGTTTCTTTGCTGGTTATAATTCTGTTCAAATTTTCTATTTCTTCCTGTTTCAGTTTTGGTATTTATATGTTTGTAGGAATTGATTATTTCTTCTAGGTTGTCCAATTTGGGGCATATACCTTTTGATGATATTCTCTTATGATTGTTTGTATTCCTGTGGTGTTGGTTGTTATTTCTCCTCTTTCATTTGTAATTTTAGAGTGAAAACAGTTTTAAATCAGCACAAATGGAAAGAGTAGGTTTTAGATTGAATTTGTCCCTTCTATTAGAATGAGGTTGTGTACGTTAGAACTATGTAAAATTATTTGCCTTTGTCCCTCCCTTGCGTTGAGAAAACACACAATTAAGTTTTCTCTTTTGCTTTGCACATCAGTGAGTACCACAAGCAGCTGAAAACATCCTTGGGACCACCAGGACAGATTCCAAAAGTGATGTCAAGTTACAAACAATAGCAGCAAATAAGTTGACATAAACCAGAGTGAGAAGCCTTGGTAAATTATTTCCTTTCCCTCCTCCTGACATCTTTCCAACCCTTTGCTTCACCGATGCTAACTTGCTTGCTAAATTAAATCCAACTGAGTCCTACGAGTGTGACAATTTGCAGAGTCCTCATTTCTTTAGGTAGTTTCCTTGATGTGAGAGTAATAATAAGAGCTGCTGTAAAATGAGGAAGAAGCAGTATGCTTAGGCATTTCATGTTCTCAGAAACTTTATATAGAAAATAGGCCATATGTGTTCACTAACTATTCTTTGCAAGGAACGGTAGGTGCTCTGAGGGAATTGAAAATTACTTATGTAAGGCTATGGATCTTGCCATCCAAAGAGAGAAGCTAATGTTTATCAAGTGCTTATCATGTTCTAAGCACTGTCTAAAGACATTTATTTGCTATCACATTTGATCTTATTATAATCCCAAAGGTAGATACTATTACCCGTTTTGTGCAGTGGAAGAAACTGAAGTTCAATTAAGTGAGTGAGTTAGCAGGGATCTTAAACTCAGATCTGTCTGACTTTAAAGTTCTTTTTCACCTGCTTCCCTTAAAAGTAGAAAAAGAAGGAGCCAAAGGAGAGAGAGAGAAAGGAAGAGAGAAAAAGAGATATCTGTCCCAGAAGATGACCCTCTAAGGGGAAATGCAAGATCCAGTAAGAACTGAAGCAGATCACTGTGAAGTTAACAAAGCTTAAATTTCAGAGTTTACTTGCCTGAACCCCTTCCAAGGCCATGTACTTAATTTTATATTTCTAATTTTGAAATCTTTATTCTTGGAAAGAACTCCTCCTCCATATTGTATAAGCCTCAGGTTCCAAAAACCCTTGTTATACCCTTGAATAAAAGATACATAGGTATAATACAGAGGCAAGGAGGAAGCAGTTAGTATCAGTTGGCTGGGAGTTGTGCTATTCAGGGGAAGTTTTCCACAGGAAGTGGCATTTAGAAGGAGACTTTGAGACTTGAACTGTATATTTGAACAAGCAAAGGTGAGTGAAAAGGGGTAAGCAGAGGGAATAATTGAAGGCATGGGGCATGTACAGGAAACAATGACTAGTTTGGTCAGATTGGAGGATGCATAAAGGATAAAGTGGAAGACATACCTAGAGCAAAATAATGGGAATTATTGATCTTGGGAGCTGAAGTAACAAAGGAAGTTGAAGACTCAGAAAATCTTACTCAGTTTTGTTCCTGAGTAGTCTTTGGTCATCTTCAAGAGAGCAGTGATTCTCAAAGTGTGGTTCCCTGGCCAGGATCATCTATATCACTCAGAAACTTGTGAGAAATGCATATTCTTTGGCCTCATTCAACCCTACTGAGTAAGAACTCTGGGTGTGTAGGGACAGTAGTTGGTATCACTGATACATTCCCTTCCAAGAATGAGAGCCCAGTTTAAGACAGTCATTAGGTGTAGAGAAATGAAGGTAGAAGTCCAACTGCAAAGTGTTAGGGAATGGGGGAGTACTGAAATGAAGAGTTCTGTAGAGCATTGACATTGGTGTGGGAAAGGGGTAGCAAGACCACCTGCCTAAGAGGATGGCTATATGGAGGCTCTTTTGCCTTTGCACTATAGAGATTTTGGTTGTTTTGTTTTGTTTTGTTTGTTTTTTGAGACAGAAGGAAAGCAGATAGCTGGGGTTAAAGAGAAAGATGAGTAAAGAGTTGGGCAATTAAGATCTTTTAAAAAAAAGAAGAGTTGGGAAACTGCAGGTGTTCATGTTATACAGCCTTGATCTTTTAAGTCCATAATAAAGCAAAGTCGTGGGAATTGAGTAATGTCAGTCCTGTAACTTTGTTTTTCTTCTTCAGTATTGTGTTGGTTACTCAAGATCTTTTGCATCTCCATATAAACTTTAGAATCAACTTGTCAGCTCCACAAAATAACTTGCTGAGATTTTTTAAAATTTTTTAAAATTTATTTATGAGAGAGAGAGAGAGAGAGAGAGAGAGAGAGAGAGAGAGAAAGAAAGGCAGAGACACAGGCAGAGTGAGAAGCAGGCTCCATGCACCGGGAGCCCAACGTGGAATTCGATCCTGGATCTCCAGGATCGCGCCCTGGGCCAAAGGCAGGTGCCAAACCGCTGCGCCACCCAGGGATCCCACTTGCTGAGATTTTGACTGGGATCACATTGAATCTATAGATAAAGTTGGGAAGAATTGATATCTTGACAATATTGAATCTTTCTTTTCACGAACATGGACCATTTCTCTATTTACCTACTTTTTCTTTGAGTTCATTCATCAGAATTTTGTGGTTTTTCTCATCTAGATTTTGTATATTATATTTTCTTACATTTATATCTAAGTATTTGTTTTGGGACTGCTAATGTAAATGGTAATATGTCTTTAATTTCAAATTCCACTTGTTCATTGCTGGTATTCAGCAAAGGAATTGATTTTTGTATATTAACCTTGTATCCTACAACTTTGCTGTTAACACTTATTAGTTCCAGGAATTTTATTGCTGATTCCTCTAGATTTTCTATGTTTATGATAATGTCATTTGTGAACAAAGACAGTTTTGTTTCTTTCTCCCCAATCTGCATGCTTTTAATTTCCTTTTCTGGTCTTAATGCCTTAGCTGGACTTTCCAGTATAATGTGGAAAAGGAGTTATGAGAAAGGATATCCTTGCCTTGTTCCTGATCTTAGCAGGAAGTCTTTTGAGTTTCTCTCCCTTACGTGCAATGTTAACTA